TCCAAAAAAATTACAAATTTAAAAATCGCTAATTTTCGAAATTTTTTCACTTTTTTTTCTTAAAACTTCCATAACATTTTGAAAAATCAACAAATCAACATAATTTTTTTTTATACTAAAACCTTAGATATCTACCTTTCATTTGATATCATTTTTTTGAAAATCTATCATTTAACCTGCTTATTAGGGGGGATTTAAAATAGCAACTTTTTTACCAAAACTAACTTTTTCAACTTAATTTTTGAAAATGTTCCGGAAATACTGCGTCCTTCAAACATATATCAAATTAAAGCTTATTTTATGTATTATAAAATGAAAAAAAAAAATTTGTCCCGACGACCTATCTTCTATGCGCAAATGGCTACCGTATTCAAACGTATGCTATTTTTCTATTAAAATTCTAGGTTTTGTATTTTATTTTATTTAAAAATATCTTATTAGGAGAATATATTGACTTTCATGAATATTATATAATTTAATTGACATAGAGTAAAGTTCATAAGACATAAGAAATTAAACTTATTAAATTTTTTTTACTTTTTTAAAGCGGAAAAATAATTTTTAAATTTGAGTTAGCTTAAATAGCCAATTTTTTAGCTTCGATGCGAATTTTTTAATAATATTAAAACTTAGAAGTGATAGAAAAAGTCTAATTGCAAATTTGAAAACATCGCGAAAAATTGATTTAGAATGGTACATTTTTGCTTCTGATTAAAGTTCCTTGTAGTTCAGTGCATTTATTTATAGTAACAAACAGGTTTTATTGAAATTTATTGTATCAAGCCCTTTAAATTTTTATACACGTAAAAATAAAGCAAAATACAACTTCTTTATTATTTTTATAATTTCTCCGTTTAAATTACAATATTAAATTATTGAATATCAATTTTATACTAAATTTAATAATTATATATATATATATATATATATTATATTTTAAAATCAAAGAACTACTAATTAGGATATAATCAAAGAAATAAGAGTTGATGTTGCTTTTGGAATAATCCATCAATTTCTCTAAATGAAACACTATCTATAGATTTGCATCGAAGCGTTTCTTATGATAGTGATTTTAATCACTGTCAAATATCATCTATACTTGTCCCATCTATGCATTGTCTTCACTGTGCCTCGACACCACTGTGCTACCGTTTTGTTTTAAAATTATTACTGAATTCAAATTGTAAAAGTTAAATGTTGTACATTATTTTACATGAGAGTATTTTCAGTTGATGAATTTAACGTCGATCACTTGATTTATCTTGAAAAAATTGTAATTTTTTATTTTATTTGCTTTTAGATTCTGTTTGCCTCAATTAGTCTAGTATGTATAATTAAAATTTTTAAATATTGAGCCATAATCAATATAAAATATTTAAATGGAAACTGATATTATAATAAGTAATTTGATAAGGTTGTAATCTACAATAATTAGTGTTTGTATTTTTACTTTACTACTGAGTCGTATTCACGAAAGAGGCTGGTATCCCTAAAGTTCTCATTTCTAAGTTCAAATGATATGAAAATATTAACAAAAAATAATTCTTAAAATATTTTTTTGTAATTGCGAAAAATAACATAAAATATAATTAAAATATAGTCTTATATTGTAAAAAATGATTTAAAAAAAGTATAAAATGTTGTTATGTAGTTATATGTGTTGTCAGTTAGATTTGTTCCACTCTATATATAGAAATAACTTTGTGTTTGTGAATTGATATAAATTATCGTTATTTGTTTAAAATCAATTTAATTAAAATATAACAAATATGAAGTCTCATTTAATTGTTAATATGATATATTTGAGAACCAATCTCAACAAATTATCGGTTAATCAAGTGTCCTAGAATTTATTTTTAATTTGTTGTGAACTTACTATCTTAAAAAGTTAAATATTATGAAAGGAAAATTTCTGCGGGAATCAGTATATTTATGACTGTGTGAATATATATATCTCAAGCTTTTCTCATCAATATTCTACGGGCATAGTCGATTTCATCATTTTCCACTTACCAATACTTTTTTATTTTTTCGAAGACATCAGATTCTCAATTTGTATAAAATCAATATCTGGGTACTGTATAATTGCTATAAAATACACGATCTTCCGGTTTTCAAATATTTTTTACTTTTGTTTATTGTATGTAAACAACTTGAATGACGTATCACTTATTTGGAATTTAATGCAATTTTATAGTATTGGGGTATATTTGTTTATTCATTATTGATTTCAAACATTAAAAAAATATTTGCACTTATAATCTTTTAATTAATTTTAACATTGTTGTTAAACTTTAATCTAACTAATCATAAGAATATCCAGTTCTAAAATTGTTTGTGATTAAAGTTTGACTCATTGTTTAATATAAAATCATTGTTGTTTTTACTAGATGGCCTTCAATTTGCGAGCAATAAATATTTGTTTGTTGTTAAGTGATATTAAAATTGACTTATTTCCCACGTAGGACGTAATTACTCATCTACAGTCCATAACTGTTTTTACTGGTGTCTTAAAAAGAACTCGGTGCGTTTCCTACATTTTACGTCCGCACGGTAACTACAATCGACTTGTTCCATTCATGAAAAATAGCGTACTCCCAATGTGTTGTTGTCAACGTTATTATCTCTTTCCGCCCATTGCATGCACGCATTGATACCCTCCGATTTTTCTTACTAGTCCTTCCGATTCATACGCCACCCACCTTGTATTTATGTTTTTTTTCTTCGCTGCCCCGTTTTTTACACGTCATACGAGAACATTCGTGTTGGTGGGCGTACGCGGGTACATGTCGTTTATTTCAATTGGACTCCGTTACCGGAATTTATCGTCTTTGTCTATGATGCAACGAATCATTACAACCCAACACGTACACACAGTCTCGTACAGACCGCAACGACAGTGTGAGCGGCGGCGCACACGCAGTGTTTTCGTGTTGGATAAAAAATGCGTTCCATACTAGACGGTTTTCGGGTGGTGGTTTTTTTATTAAAGTCAACCGTGTCAAGGCACGGCGAGTGACAAGCGTCGTCATTTGCATGGTAAATAAATAACACGTTTGCAAAGAAATAAAAACCGTCGCCGATTGTCCGTTTGATGGCGCCATTTTACACCGTGCGATGGTATCAAAGTTGCGGCTAAAGCTCATCCGCCACGTTCGCACGACAGGGAGCGTCGTTCGTAAAGTTTCCCCTCTCGTGTCGAGTGTTGGCCGCTGCCCGACGCCGCCGTAACGCCACCGCGTGCGCACATCACCGGAGATAGCCGCCGCGCTCATACCGACGTACGTGAGGCGGCACCGTTATTGTCGCTCGTTGTCGTTCCATCGCAACAGTCGCCCATACACCGATGTCGCGCTGTGCATTGATGTTGTGCTCGATACGTGACGGCTCCCAAAACGGATGTTTCTTTATTAACGCGTGATATATTTTATTGTTTTCTCCACCCCTGAACTTTGTTCCGCGCTATAATTTTTCCCGTATCTCACCACAGTATCGTATTGTTTCCATTTTTATGACATCGTCAATTCTCGTTTGAACGCCATGTCAACCACTAAGGTACAATTTTATTAACAAGTTTTAACTTTTTAGCTCTTATAGTTTTTTTTTTTTTTTAATATATGTATAGTTTGGTATTTCTCGCGACTGAAAAATACGTCTTTTTGACGGCTTGTTGTTCCCTCGGCGCGAGGAATTCAACAAAAAATATATCAATTTTTGTAAATATCTAAATTTATACGGTTTTTTGGTAGTGAAAAAATAGTTTTCATCACACAGAAAAAACGCAGGAGTTCATATACGTAAAATATACAGAGCGTGCAGATATTTTATGTTCATTAAAGCTTGTCCTAACGTTGAATAATACATGAGGTCGGAAAAGGCTTATTTTTGTTGGCGTGCTTGCGTATATATACAGCAGTATGACATAAATCACATTCCTTCAGTGTTATTATGACAATGGAAAAACTGGTTTTAACTCGTGTTGCGGTATATGGTAGTGAAGCCTATGATGGACTGTTGCTAAAATATAGATACTCGATCTAGGCGTTTGTAAATAGCGGCTTATGTAACACTGCAATCATAACAGATCTATTTGAGCAGCGCGCACTAAAACCGTAGTACAAGCCGGCTCAACACAAATTGCACCTAATGTTGAATATTGTAAACGTTTTGATAAGCGAGAGGTTTTCGCTAAAGCAGTGTACACGTTACTTGGGTTTCTGCTTAAACTATAGTACGTTAAAAAGAAAAGAAACTGCGTCAACTCGACCATCAACTTGTACCCTCTAATCTCTCTCGTCTTTTTAACGGTACTCGACCACAAAAATTATTCATCCGTCCTTTTTCCCATCATAATTTTTATGTTTAAAAAAGCCTAAAGTTTTCTGGAAAAACATCTTCCCGAGTAAGTGTTATTGTCGACGGCAAACAGCAAATTCTTGGGGTTGTTGTTCTCAATGCGATTTTTATGTGGTTATATGACTAACCTTGTGTGGTACGCGCAAAGCCCGTTTCTAGTAAGCGCGTAAATTATGCATACGATTTGTGTGATGTACTTTGCATTAATTATCGGTGCGCATTTTGTCTCGCAACTTTGTCCAGATTAACCAGTCCGGATTTTAATTGGTACCCGGTCGGTGTGTATTTAACCCGTGCCAATTGGGGTTCGCTCGTGTAGTAGCTAATGACCGCCAAACATGTGTTCGGAAAGACATTGTTGAGGTCCGAGACGAACGTTACAGATTAATTGTGCAATGCGTTTAAAGTTTATGGGCTGCGTGCTCGTTGTCGTTGTTACGGTTGAACTCTCTGGACGGCTATTAAAACACGTTTTGTTGCAAGTATTTTGCGGGCACACATTGTTATTATCGAGTGTGCAGTCCATATGGTCGAAACAAACGCGTTTTCCGTTCGGTGTTATCGCGTTAATGAATTTTTTGAAGATTTTATTTGTTAACAGCTACCGTTTTGCGTGTCCATATGTAAAATTAGCGGACAATTATTTTTGAATTGTCTGAGCAAATAGTGTAAACGCTCTCGTAATGAAATCGGAATTCATTCAAGGTCCATGTATTCCTATGCACACTCATGCCAAGGTAACAAATCATTCCAAGTACGTGAGTGAAATGTACTAAAGGCTAAAGTAAAGTTAAATATCTTGTAAATTTATCAACGTTGATGTATTTCACCTATCAAGACTTTGAAACTCTCGATTTATCAATGACTTCTTAGTTCTTAATATTACCAGCGAATCTTTGTAAAAACTTCGTTTTCACGTGAAAGACTATACTCAATTGAAAATATTTTTTAAAAATCGGCCGACAATAGTTGTTGCAGATAATTAAGGTTATTTATTTGTCTACCTTAAAATATATATTCTACAACATAATTACTCTATTAGTTTTTATGAATAATTTTATTCTTGATTTGTTTGTATTCTTTTTTAAGGCTTAATGTATTAAAATCATGATATTTTGTAAAAAAATTCAAGATTAAAAATTGCCCGAATATTTATTTATTGTAAAAAACCAAATAAACAATTCATCTAATTATATAAATACTAGAAACATTCGGCATTATATTTATTTAATTTCACGTGGTATGTAATTCAAGTTCAAATTATTTCAACTTGAAATAACATTTCACGAGTCAGTTATTTAATAAAATACAATTAGAAATTACTTTATGCGTGTCATCATTTATAAACAAAGATTTTGTGGTCTTTATTCTAATGTACTCTTAAAAATAAACCGTAATTATTTTCAAAGTGTGTCTATCAATGTTATAAATATTCTTTAAATTTGCTTTGGATGTTCGTAAATTTGAAAAAATATGTTATATTTTCCCTTATCAATTATTATTGTTTGATCGAAAATTGAAATAATATATTGCCAAAAAAATCAAAGTGTGTTTGATTTGCCTAATACACGTCACTTGGAAGCTTTGTGGATAACAAGCAGTACGCGTAAATGGATCATGATACTTAAATTTATTTAATTTTACTTCCGTCGGTATACGAACTATTAGTCATTTTTATAAGAATATCAATCAATACTTTTATTTTTTCAATTTATATAAGAAAATGTTATGTATTCTGAGAAGTTTTGTGCTAGTTATTGGAACTTTATAAGCGAATTAGGTATACAGTAATTTGATTTCTCTATTAAATAGATAGGCATAAAACATTTGTCCAATTTTAGGGATTCAGCTTCTAATCTTTCCATTTAAAGTGAAAGTTAATAATTTGTAAAATTAATGTTATGTTTATAACACGATTGAAAAAAGAAGTATAATGCCTTTTTATAAATTTAGATTTTCTATATTTATTGTACAATTTATATTTCATGAATAATAATAAATTAATTATAAAAAAGTAATATTAATTTCAATAAAATAAATACAAATTTTTATTTTTAAAAATTATTATTCATTTTCTGTTTTGATTGTATTTTACTTCATGCTACGAATATTATAATACTATCGCGCCCTAAAATTTTATTAAATGTTAGTAATAATTTTGCTCTTTTGGTTTGTAATACATTTTATAATTTATTGATTATGTACAATTTTTATTAATTCAAATTTAACTAAGCAAAAATTTCATTGTTAAAAAAAACTCTAGAAGACATAATTTTTTGCCTATATTAATTAAGAAATATCTATTTGTTATTTTTACACTTATTAATATACAAAATAACTAATTTTCTTGAATGGGTTGGAAGTAGAGAAATGAAATATATGTTTTCGATGTATTCATTTGTATACTTTATAGTTTCTATAAAATAATTTCTTCCAACTAATGATCATAGTGTTTTCTACAGTTATTTTCGCAATCCGTTTTATGTACTAAAATTTAATAGTTAGTATGCAAATGTTCGTGAATAACTATTGGTGTTTATTGATTTATTTTAAAGAAAAGGCCGCCAGACTTGAAATATTCTCAATGAGATAATTATCCAAAACCATATCCTATATAAACTGTTTAATGAAAAATAAAATAAAAATACAACTTGCATATTTTCAATTATCTCAAACATAAAAAAAAAAAAAAATTACAAGTTTACCAAAATTATCAAGTTGATCTTTTTAAGTACTGTGTCATCATACAAAATGAAATTTTTTTAATCTACTCCTGTCCAATTATTTTTGTGCAATAACTTGTTTCAAGACGTTATTGCCGAGTGCAATAAAATAGTAATTATTGCATCAAAATGAAACTAGTTTGTGCTTATTATTTTGTTAGATTTAACTAGATGCTCTAAAGTTGTATTGTCAGTTTAGACTTTTCACATTAGGATTGTAATAAATTTAATTACTGTTCATATAAAAGAATAATAAGCTGTTTATACTTTGACACAAACCATCAATTGTTATTAATTACCTAATTCAAAGTTCATTGCGCTGTATTGTTATACGTTGAATCTCACTTTTTTTTATCGAGGCTCATCATTTTATATTCTACTCCATTATTGTTTGCCGAAATAAAATTAGACTCATCGACACCCGCATTGGTTTATTTTAAACAAATTTTGTAACATTGTTTTTCAGGTTTAATCATAATAAAGATCAATAAAAACAAACTTGCCTTTTTTGTGTTGCTGGCGAATTTAATTAATAGTATCATGATTGTGTTATTGTTCTTAATGACCCACATAATGACCTTTAAAAATAATATTCATTATTTTGTCGCTTATGGTATAAATTTCCTAGAATTAGAATTTTCTCTCGAAATTAGAAAGTTTTTAAAATATATCAGTTGATTTTAACTTTTAATAATAGTGCTATATTTTTTTTTATAAATATATCAACTGTTAAAGGCAGTTATAAACGTATAGCGAGTTAGGTCGTATTGATTACCAACATATGTGTTGTTACAGCTCTTAAACGACTGTTTATAATTTTGTGAGAGGCGTAAACCTTGTGAACAATTTACTCCTAAAACTTTATTCTATTAGGATTCATTAATTTTTTTGGCACTATTACTGTGTAGACTATAAAAAATCCACGACGTTTATTTTGTGGAATGTTAGATCACTACTGATCGCCCACATTTTATCTTCTTGTCATTCAGTGTCATTGGTTTTCTGACGAAATTGCACGTGCGATATTACTAATATTGGCGTTGTCATTAAAACTACTCTTTATTTGCCATTTATAGGAATATTGTGTTAAAAGTATGTTAAATAATTAAGAATCGTTTAATACAGTTTTTTATCATAATTTTATTTTAATACAACCGAAGCGTATAAATACGCAGAATAAATATTATAGTTTGTCTATCTTAAACTATAATGTCCAACTATATGGTGGTTTGCACATAAAATATAAGAAAATGCTCACGTTTATAAAAATGAGGTTAAATAAAAATTTTAAAAATGCGTTTAAGATTTTGGCCAGGTCACACAAATTTTTTGATTTGGCTGTTTATACATTAGTCTTAAAAATATTTAATTTCGATTTCATAAACAACAAGTTTATTTATTTCTATTTTTATGACTCACAATTTTCAAGTAATAGAAGTTAGCTAGTGGTTTTGCGAAATTAACTACCATATTTAT